GGTTTTCGGGTTTAGGGTTTGAGGTTTGTTTGTTTTGTTTAGAAAGGTTTCGGGTTTAGAGTCTATAGGTCCCAGGGTTAAGGGCTCCGGGTTTATAGGGTTAAGGCCGGTTAAGGGTCAAGGGTATAGGGTTTCAGGTTTAGGGTTGAGCGTTTTTTGCAGCTCTCACATGAAGTTACTCTCATATGAACGTACTCTCACTAGAAGCAAAGCATGGGTTTTGGTCTGGCAAGCACGAACAGAGATCCACAGACTTTTTTTGAGCACTCATGATTCCTCCTCTGAGCGCTGCGCGGCCAAGGTCGGGGCTTCCGGATCCACCTCCAAGCCGTCTGCCTGATGAACAATCCCAAGCTTTTGCGTGTGCATCAAACTGTGGCACAGGACTGACCTGCGGACATGCGGTGCACTCTCACAATTCGATCCAACTCTCACAGAAACTACACTCTCACACACACACAAGACGCTCCCAGCAAAGAATCAACTGCCACTTTCTCAACCATTGCTGTGTGTCTGCAGCACGACATGCTACCTATCCACGCCAGCAAGAGGGCTCAGGGAATGTCCAGGCCGGATGCTCTGGATATACACACACCTGTTTGTTCTTTCTGCAGGATTATTTTAGCCTTCTTCCGGCTGCAACTTCTCGGGCTCGCTGAGGTTGTACACAGCTGGCGCGAGCGAAACCTGGGTGGCACATGGACTGCGTCTTGAGAACATGGCCAGCAGCAAACATGTTTTTAACGCGAGATATATACTCAAGAGAGGCCCGAGAAACTGGAGGAAGGACTCTGGCTCAACACCATTACCCAAACAATCCTCACGATACCTTTGCCTCTCCTGCAAAGCAGGCGCGGGCGCCTTCCTCCCGGTTGCCGGCTTGTTCATCTTCTCAGCGCGAGCCGCCGGCTTCTTCTTCACCGCCGCGGTCGCCGCTGCCGGCTTTTTCATCGTCCTCTTGGTCGCAGCGGCGGCCTTTTTTGCCATGTCGCAGGGGGCCCGCCAGAGGATTCAAAAACCACACCCGCAGGCAGCAACAGCTTGAGCTTCAAGCACGCTGCATCGGATACATACAATTGTGGTTAACTTTCGTTCAGAAAGTAAAAAGCAGCGCACTCGACCCGCACGTGTGGAAAACAACGGTCCCCGCCTCATCCTGATTCTCCATCTCCACGTCGGCCGGGTACGCGCTGGTGGCCTGCCGGGTCGAAAAGGTTCAGGGTGTAAGGTTTAGGCTTTGGGGTCACGGCCTTGGGCCGGGCGCCAGCCACAGCCAGGACCTTCACATACTCTCTCACACAAGGGAAGCCATTATCTTACTCTCACAACAACCATCACATACTCTGTCACATAATGAAGACAATTATCTTACTCTCACAACACAAAAAACTTCACATACTCTCTCACCGAACCCCCATTATCATGGTCTCACAACATACCTTTTACTCTGACAAAGCTGCCTGGTTCGAAGCTGACGAAGACGCGCTGCTTGCCTGTCGCGGCAGCGCAGGCAAGAAACTGCAAGAGCGCAAATTCTGCAAATGAAGCCTTGGGGCGTGCTCCGCGTGCCATGGCCCTCGCAGCTTCCTGTTTCAGTGCATAAAAAACCACATTGAAGCATAGAGGAGAGCTCAGAAAAAATCAGAACCCCAGCAAATGTCCTGGTTTGAGGCGGCCTCCATGAGCTTGCGCCGCAGGGCATCGTCGCTCATCTGCGACACACAATCTCTCCATGTCTCCACAAGTGCAATCTATACTCTCAATACTCTCACAAAAAATTGAACCCTCACTCTCAACTCTCACAAAACACTGCCCTTCACCGAGCCTTATATAATTCCAACCCTCTACTCTCACATAAACCCTGCTCTCACAAAAACCATGTGGGGTCTCGCAACCTCGTCCTCGTCGGACTGGGCGTCTGCATTGGCTCCCTCTGGAGCATCAGCAGCTTTCCGCTTGCGGCTTCCACCGGCTTCCTGCCAGAAAAACCAAAAAACCACGTTAGTATCCAAAATGGAAAAGCTCTGGTGTCCGCAGGGCGGCGCCTCATCTTCGTTCGCCATGGCTTCCGGCTTTGCCTCTCGGGAGCTTTCCTGCCACAGCACAGCAAAACCATCCAGTGGTCTGGGATTTGTAGGTTAAGGCGTAGGGATGGGCGCCTCGTCCGAGGATGAAATGGTCCTTTTTGCCTTCGGTTCTGCAATGCTGGCCTGCCAAGGGATGGGCGCCTCGCCCGAGGATGAAATGGCACTCTTTGCCTTCGGTTCTGCAACGCCGGCCTGCCACAAGAAGACAGAAAACCATCGAACGGTTTGGGATTTATAGTTTAAAGTCTAGGGATGGGCACCTGGTCTTCCGGTGCAGTGGCCCTCTTTGCATTCGGTTCTACAACGCTTTCCTGGCAGAACAAGACAGCTAACCATCCAACGGTTTGGGATTTGTAGTTTAAGGTCTAGGGATGGGCGCCTCGTCCGAGGATGACATGGCCCTCTTTGCGTTCGGTTCTGCAACGCTGGCCTGCCACAACAAAGCACCAAACAATCGAATGCTTATAATTTAAGGTCTCGGGATGTGTGCCTCGTGTTCCGCCGCAATGGCACTCTTTGCCTTCGGCTCTGCAACTTCGGCCTGCCACAAGGACCCACAAAACAATCCGGCGGCTTGGGATTTGCAATTTAAGATCTAAGGATGGGCGCCTCGTCCGAGGATGAAATGGCACTCTTTGCCTTTGGCTCTGCAACGCCGGCCTGCCACAAGAAGACAGCAAACCATCCAACGGTTTGGGATTTATAGTTGAAAGTCTAAGGATGGGCACCTGGTCTTCCGATGCAATGGCCCTCTTTGCATTCGGTTCTGCAACGCTGTCCTGCCAGAACAAGACAGGGTTTGTAGTTTAAAAGTCTAGGGATGGGCGCCTGGTCTTCCGATGCAATGGCCCTCTTTGCATTCGCAACGCTGTCCTGCCACAACAAAAAGAAAACCATCCAGCGCTTTTGGGATTTGCCATTTAAGGTCTAGGGATGGGCGCCTCGTCTTCGGAGGGAATGGCATTCTTTGCCTTCGGCTCTGCAGCGCTTTCCTGCCACAAGAAAAAGAAAACCATCCAGCGCTTTTGGGATTTGCGCAATTCAAGGTCTAGGGATGCGCGCCTCGTCTTCGGAGGGAATGGCATTCTTTGCCTTCGGCTCTGCAGCGCTTTCCTGCCACAAGAAAAGAAAACCATCCAGCGCTTTTGGGATTTGCAATTCAAGGTCTAGGGATGGGCGCCTCGTCTTCGGAGGGAATGGCATTCTTTGCCTTCGGCTGTGGATCGCTGTCCTGCCACAAGGAGAAGCACACAACAATCAAGGGGCTTGGGATTTGCAATTGAAGGTCTAGGGATGGGCGCCTCATTTTTGGAGGGAATGGCACTCTTTGCCTTCGGCTCTGGAGCGTCTTTCCTGCCACAACAAGGCAAGAGCATCCTCTTAGGAATTATAAATTTCAAGGGTTTAGGGATAGGCGCCTCAACTTCCATCTTCCTCCGTGCTCCTTCTTCAGGAACATCAGAGCTGTCCTGCCGCACAAAGAAAAGCTAGAAGAGGGTTCAAGGTTTGGGTTTAGGG